TATGTATGTATGTATGTATGTATGTATGTATGTATGTATGTATGTATGGTATGTATGTTGTATGTATGTATGTGTGTGTGTGTGTATGTATGTATGTGTGTGTGTGTGTATGTATGTATGTATGTATGTATGTATGTATGTATGTATGTATGTATGTATGTATGTATGTATGTATGTATGTATGTATGTATGTATGTATGTATGTGTGTGTGTAGTGTGTGTGTGTGTGTGTGTGTATGTATGTATGTGTGTGTGTGTGTGTGTGTATGTATGTATGTATGTATGTATGTATGTATGTATGTATGTATGTATGTATGTATGTATGTATGTATGTATGTATGTATGTATGTATGTATGTATGTGTGTGTGTGTGTGTGTGTGTGTGTGTGTGTGTGTGTGTGTGTGTGTGTGTGTGTGTGTGTGTGTGTGTGTGTGTGTGTGTGTGTGTGTGTGTGTGTGTGTGTGTGTGTGTGTGTGTAAGCGCGCGTGTGTGTATCCCGTGAACATTTAGGCCAGGAAAAGCGTAAGTCCATTAAATGTTGTCATTAACTGTAGCATAGTAATAAAGACGAAAATTGAAATGACCTAAAGGAAACGCAGAATCATTGTCTCCGTCTGTGGGATCCGAACACGCAACCTTTGAATTGGAGCCACGGCGGAACATGCTTCCTTCGTATCTCTGGTGCACGCACGTACGTAACAAGCATGCCACCTCTCCGGTACCGCCGGCATAGCTGCAGTCTTTAGCGTCATCCGGCGCAGTTTTCGAGGCGTCATCCGCCTTCGCGAAGCCTCGCATTCACGCAGCGTTTTCTCGAATGCCCCCCCGCGATGCCCCTCCGTGCACGTGGTACACTGCGTGCTCTCGTCACCCGCGAGCCACGGGCACTCATTTCCGGGACCGCGCAGCACTCGCCGCCAGATGGCCGCGGCCTCCGCTATACAACACGTGTGAAGGGGCGATCGCTTGACCCGACCCGGTGGCGTTCATGGGGGTCACGTGCGATTCTGCTTCCGTGGCCGCCAGTAGCGCCGCACGAGCGAGGATGCGGAGGCAAGGGGTGCGGTGGTGGGGCGGGGGGACGCTTATCGCCACCGTTAGCGCGAATTCCCCATAAGACCTCGATGTTGACGAAATCTCACCCCGTCCCGACCTTTTTAGTCCAAATTACGCCGACGATAATTGCCAGGTCTCAACGGCGTGACTAACTCTGCGTTATGGTTACCGCCGTTCGAAAGTAATTGGAGGGGCCATTATAGATGCCTTTAATGCATGGAGCCGCGCTGAGGCATGAGTGCGTTGGTTTGGAGCTGCTTGCTTGACTATAGGCGTGTCTTCTCGCAATGGTATACCTTCCTTCTCCTGTACAGTGGTGGGGGCTGTTTGCAGATAAGAGCAAGCTGTCTGCAGATATTCGGTTGCTCTGAAACTGTCGGTGTGTACTGCGCGAGATACCTTTAATTATTGGCTGCTGAGTGGAGTGCTGTCTCTCCCAAAATGCGGAAAGAAGTACGCACTTGTCGAACTTTGGGCCGCGCGAGAGCCAATCGTCAGACTAGACTTATTGAACGATGGTGCGGCGCGAGTTGTGTTTGCACTCCCATTTGAGCATCATGAGCCTTTTCGGGCTAGGGAATTCGCAGGCGTGGCTCGAGGTGCGTTTCTAGGCTTTATAGGTGTCAATTTGGACATTCGCACCTTGCACAAGCAAGGTGACGCGACGATGCCTTCATTTATCATTCCAGTGTTACCAACTCCGTCCGCTTGGGAGGGGGTGGGGATCCCTGTCCACTACAGAGGGCACCGTTTGTTAGGACAAAATACCACACACAGAAAAATACCTTACGTTAAGAAATCATAGAAAAAAGAAATAATAATCATTAGGAATGAACGTACAAAACGTTTCACGGAAGGTTTTTGCCAGCAAGTAACTGTGTAACCTTTTGGACGTTTCAGTGAGCTTATGCGAAGCAATTAAGGCAGATTCGGGGCTTGTGCCTAACTGGAAGAAGTTGAACGTGAAAAGTTTGGAGCTGAACGTGGAGTCCACGGCAGTGCCCTGGGGCAGCACGCGTCTCTTCTTGTTTACTACACTCTAAAAAAAGAGCGAGTAAAAAGGGTGTCTTTTTGTCACACTAAAATAATCGTCATCTATATTGCGTTCTATCCTTGCGCTATTGCTCTGGTACATTCCCCGGTACATTCCGGTCACGATCGACATGCCCATTATCAGGGTTACATTGCTTTCTCGATAGGAAAGTGGCCAGTGCCGAGTTTTTAAGAAAGGAAGCACACGCAAGCCTGATAACGATTATTGTTGTGGGACAAAAAGACGCCCTTTTTGCTCGATATTTTTTTAGAGTGTACAATGAAAACAATTTTATGAATTTTTACTGCACCTTACTTTACGGAGAATCTCAGTTTTTTAATGTGAAAACCTCCGTTTGTGAATTGGTGTATAATTTATTTCAGTGGAGGCAAACTGCATATACCGCTGCGCACTTTGATTTAGATCCCCGTTAAAGAACTCTACGTGGTCAAAATTATTGCGGAGCTTCTGTCTACGGGCACTGGCCAGAGAAGTGATATATACACTGCCTCAAGATCTCCTGCCAGGGCCTTCGCTTCTGGTTCCGTGTGCAACGAGTTTGTTAGAAGTTTCACTGGCAAGTAACTCGCCCACCACGCTATCACTTGGTTCCCTGCCCAACTTGGCTCAAAGGTCGGAAGCCTTCCCAATGTAAAAGAGCTAGCTCACACCAAGGTGCGTAGTTTCACTTGCGGCGCAGGGACTCGCGTCCCGGCGCCGTAAGTTCCCCATCTTAGGGACATTTTGACTACATTCAATGAGGTCACGAAACACTCTCAAATGGGCTGTAGATCCTTTCCACTGCCCCACGAGAAGTTGTCTACGCCGCAGGTGATCTCTCTTCACGCGCTTCAGACGGAAACGTATCCCAGCGTTTTCACTTACAGTCAGCCCCACCGTGGTAATCTGTGGCTAAGGTACTCGGCTGCTGACCCGCAGGTCGCGGGATCGAATTCCGGCTGCTGCGGCTGCATTTCCGATGAAGGCGGAAATGGTGTAGGCCCGTGTGCTCAGATTTCGTTCGTATCAATCAATCATTTACAGTCATTACTCCGACATTTCAGCGCTTTGCCCGGATTGCCAAGATCGCAGTTATATTAGCCACATGCATTGGAGGAAACTTTTATGCAGGAAATTGCCAAGGAAATGATCTATGATATTACTCGGGGTACTGTTTGACGCCAGGACGGGAGTATTGCGAACCAAGACACATCGGGCCAAATACGAAGGGGTAGACACGGTATGCAGTGCGTGTGGAGAGGAGGAGGAATCTGCTAAACACTTGATAATGTTCTGTAAAGGTCTTCACCCTAGAGTTCAGGATGCTGGCGCAGAGTTCTTCAAATTACTGGATTTAGGGACAAGGAGGGCAAAATAGACTTTAAGCGGGTAGAATTAACCAGAAGGAGGTTATCTCATTGGCGGCTAAAGTCAAGGCACGAGTGAATATTAAACCCTTCACTGCAAAGTACCAATCCTCAACTTCACTATTTAAAGAAAAAAAGATAAATCTAGTTTTTCGTTCACTAAGTATTACGGCTATAGGTGGCGTTTGCCGCCGCCCGATCTAAAGGGTGCAGCCATATCCATCCATCCATCGTTTAAATTCATAAATATACCCAATAAGGTGGCTTGGAGGATAGCTGCCGTCGTAACTCAGTGGTGGGGCATCGAACGCGTCATTCGAAGGTCGCAGGTTTGGTTCCTGCACCCACTTTTCTTTCTTCACATTTACATTAAAATTCGGTCTAATAACTTCCCCTATACTTTGCTTGGCTGTATTGTCTGTTAGATTTCATTAATATTGTGTCAAAACAAGGAAAAACTAGCGCATATGTATACTTCTTTCCCGTATATATATATATATATATATATATATAATAGTGCTAACATGACGTACTTGGTAATGACATCGTGGTTTTGACGAATAAATCCTCATAATTCAGCTTTCTTTTTTGGAATGCGCCTGTTTTATTTTTTTTTTCTCGTATTGAAACTTGTGGCTAGGACAACGCTCGTCCCTCTTTTTTCAAGACTTGCGAAACCAACCTAACAACGTGAGCAGCTTGTCTTCAGCAGGCACACGTGGCTACGCAACGAATGTTTGACTTTGCGATCCCTGCGCAACACGTCCCCCCCCCCCCCCCCCCTATTTGTTTATCGTAAGTTGTAGCGCAGCCGCGGCGCGTGGCGCCAACGTCGCACAGCAAGCGCTGAAGCTCAAGGCTCTTTAAGAAACGAAAAGAAAAACACCGAAGAAAAAGACGAAAAAAAAAAAGGAAAGGAAGATAACAAAGCGGGGATGTTGTTGCGGAGTTCGCACCGGGAGGATGGGGAGCTTTTTTTTTTTTCCTCGCTGGCGCGAGAGATGGCGGCACGGGTCCGGGCTCTGGGGCTGTTTGATCCGGTCAGCCTCTCCGCATCCTCCTCCCGAGCGGTTTCCTGCCGGCGATCCAACATGGCCGCCTCCCTGCTCTTCCGCAGCGCATCGGCAGTGCGCTGACGACAATGTTGTTTCGCGAACGCCTTTGTGCGCTCTCCAGCGGAGCCGGCGCTGCAGCAGCTCCGGTGGGCCCCGTACGACTTGCCAGTGGTCTGACGGTGCGCCGCTGACCGGCGTGCGTTTTTTCTCCCACCAGCTGTTTACGCACCTTTTTGACGTCAGACCGACACCGGTGAGAGGGTGCACGCCTCTGTTTCTTCTGTTTTTCTCTCTCGTGCTGCCGGCAGAATTGGCAGACTCTCTCCCTCCGTTGCCTTCCTCGGAGTGTATTCTGTTGCTTATCGCCGGTCAGCGAATTGCTCACCACCTGACGTCATCGGGCCGGATCGTCTCTCATCAGCTCCTGAAGCATACGCGAGAACAACATCACCCGCACACCTTCAGTCGGTTGCTCTTACAGCCCGTAGGAAGCTCCAAGGCTTGCAAGGAAGATGAACATCCAGGCGACGCAGCGAATCATCTTCCGCAAGATGCTGCGCGTCCTGTGCACGACGGCTCTGAGGACGAGACGCCGCTTCGAGAAGGCCCGGCGCCTCGTCACCGAAACCCTGACGACCGCGCGTTCGTGCCGTTAGCGGCAATGGAGCCTGGGACGAAGCGAAGAAGGAGTTTGAAAAGGATAAGAACGCCGGCTGGCGCGTCGCGGATATTTGTCTAAGCATACAGGGAAGCTCGCTGAGCTGCGAGGGATGCTGCACGCTGGCCCGTTGCTGGAGCCCCGACCATGGCCGCCAGCGACGAGGTCTGCTGGTCTCACCCGACCACGGAGTCCATGCACCCAACGGCTGCCGCCGGCGAGACGAGCCTCTACTCTCGTGCAGATCACCACTGCGAATGCTGTCTGTGGGCACTGGTGAGCGCGTGATTTTTTTTATCTTTTCAGCTCACCATACTTTATGCACGCAGTCGCTAAGAATTCGGCCTGGAAGAAAGTGAGCTCGTTTTAATCATCGAAAGGGCCCCCAAACAGCCTCTGACAATTGAAAGAACGGGCGCGTCATTCTCTCCCGAATTCTATCCGTCTTTTTGGCGCAATTCGTGACGTCGGCAGTTTGTTCACTGACGTCACGAGTAAATAAACTCTCGATCGGTCCATATACGAGGGATATATGTGATTCCCTGAAAAATTTCAGGAAGGGCTCAAAGATATTTTTCTGTAAGCATGGTCTACTATGTTAATTTATTGCAATTCATTTGTATGCTTACTACGACTGCACTGTTTTTCCTTCGGCCTCAATGCCGGTGTTTCCAATCATATGTCATGTAACATTTACAAGTTCAAGTGTTGATGCTTAAATTGCTGTATGATTTGAATGTATTGATGTTTGTCATTCTTAGTATGTCCCACCCCTATAACAGCCGAAAGGCTAACAGTATTTGGAAAATAAATAAATAAATAAATAAATAAATAAATAAATAAATAAATAAATAAATAAATATCAGTTCTTAATCGACTCTCGCAACTGAGCTATAAGGGAAGTCAATTGGCGGCCCTTGACAAGGGTAAACTGATTTCACTTCGTTTTGTGCGTTTTCTGCGCAAGCGGAGATGACAGCGTGTAGCCCGAGAAGCGCGAAATCCCGAAACGCGCAGTGCTGACGTTGTCTGCGTGTTTCACGAAGGAATAAGTGGCGAGAAGGAGATAGTGCATGTAGGAAGGTTAGTGAAGGCGAGAAAGTAACCGCTCTCTATTCGAACTCGGAGTGGTTTAAGCACGGTCGAAAGAGCGCTAGCAATCTTGCTAGAAAAGCTGTCTGCGCGCAAACGTGACACGGAATACGCGGAAGAGCGCAAGCTTTTGAACTAATGTTATTTTTTTTATCGCTGTCACTATGTGCACATTCACTCACGTGGTCACAACAGTGAACACGTCCCCACGCCCCGCAGACTACAACAGCACTCGCATGCGGAAAACTTCACTGCAACCCATTTAATATATTGACGTCTGGCTTACGCCTGCTATAGATGTTTCGCGCAAAGTGCGGCTATATGCAGACGATTGTGTGATTTTACCATTGCATTAGAACTGTGCCTCACCGTATGTACTTGCAAACGAAATTTAGATATTATAATGCACTGCTGTGTTAAGTGGTGTATGTCTGTAACCCCAGTAAGTGTCTACGCATCTCCTTCACTCGTAAACACGATCCGTACCTGTTGAGTACACATTAGGCACCGTGCAGCTAACGCGAGTGACTGAGCATAAGTGTATGTACTGTTATACTGTTGCTGTTTATTTTACATGTAATCTTACTTGGACTAAGCACGTTGAGTATGTTGCAGAGATATCCTGTAGATTGTTAAATTTTGTTGAACGAAACCTTCGCTTAGTTGCTCCCAAGGTCAGAGAATTAATTTATTTTTCGAACGTCAGACCTATATTGAAGTGCGCCTGTGTGGCTTGGGACCCGCAAAAGTAAAGCCCAACCTAACATGCTCGAGCTGGTACAAAACCGTGCAGCCCGTTTTGTCACTTGTAACTATGACTTCACTTTAGAGTCACTGCTCTAAAAGAGGGGTTGGGGTGGAAATTACTTGGTACACGTAGAAAAAAAAACATTAGATTAGAAATGCTTTTCAATTTTTTTTCATGGCAATTGGTTAACGTATATAAATATTCTTGCCTTTTACCTCCCTATTTCTTTATCCCACAGAAGTGACCACTGTTTAAAAATAAGATAAAGTTATGGCGGAACTAACGTCTACGAACACTCGTTTTTTCCCCCACACAATCTCCCTGTGGAATCAGCTTCCACATGAGATCGTTGACTGTCGCACTGAAACATCGTTCAGAAATATACTGCTGCACTCATAGCTACATTTATGTTCTATTTAGGTGTTAATCATGTTTTCATGGTTATCCTTTCTTTTTTGTATGTCGGAATATGTTACCCTGTGTATTCTCCCCCTACAATAATGCATTCGGGTGCTGCAGGTAATTTTAATAAATAAACATAAATAAATAAGTAAATAAATAAACTGCTCTTAGCGAATTGGCAATCTCTTTATGAGCGTGACATTCAAGTATAATGTAAGTAGTTCGGTACATTATCATATCCATGGTTCCGTCATCTGCATTGCGGGCTCTAACAATGCTGCTGCGCTTTTTGATACAGCGGAGTCTTGCGTTCTTCTGTGATTGGTTGGCCGATGAACGCTGTTAAGCGCCTGCGTACGTGACCTGTCCATTTTTTTTTGCTTCTTCCTTTCCCTTTTTATTTTCCGGTTCTCGGTGGTGGATCAGTGGTTATATACGGTGCTCGGCTGCTGACCCCAAAGGTCGCGGCTTCGATTCAGGCCGCGGCGGTTACATTTTAATGGAGGCAAAGTGCTAAAGTTGTGTCTGTAATGTCTGTGCATGTTTAAGAACAAGATATGATTGAAAATTCCGGAGCCCTATACTGCGGCGTTCCTTATAATGATCTGGTGGCTTTGGCACGTACAACCCTAGATTATTTTTGTTTTCCACCCGCTTCTCCGCTCTCGAGTGTAAATGATACTAAACCATGTGAGAACGTGTTTAACCTCCTATTCATTTCATTCTGTCTTTTTTTTTCTCTTTCTCTCTGTCTCTGTCTCACCTCCGAGATTGTGCAGTGGTTACACAGTCTCACGATGACTTTTGTATCTAACAGAAGCCGTGTTGCTCCTTTTTGATTGTATTCACATGTATCATGTACTACGTATTCTGTTCTATCAGATCGGCATCGGAGTCGCTTGCCCTAAGTCTGATCTTTATTGTAATTGTGCGCGCACTGTAAAAGATATGAAAAGAGCCGTGACGACCCCTACAAGTGCGTGTAGATACCATTACACTCGTACGTGCGAGTATCGATAACTTTCAGCCTCTCTCACGGAGTTGCCGACGTATTAATGCCGTTGCGCGTTTATATTTCAAGCGAGGATTGGGAGTCCAGCACTGCCTCCATTTCTGATAGTAAGCGTTCCCATACAAATCCACTTTATAGGCTAAGTCGCGAAAACTTTCGTTTGATCGGCTCGCGCGGGTGTGGCCGTCGCGAAGTATCGACGCAATGGCCAAGATGCTTTGTTTGACCTCGAGCAATAATAGTGACATCTGGGGTTTAACGTCCCAAAACCACGACGTGACCGTTACGGACGCCGTAGCGGTGGCCTCCGGAAATTTCGACCACCTGGGGTTCTTTTAACGTGCTCCCAAGTCTGAGTACACGGGCCTCAAACATTTTCGCCTCCATCGAAAACGCAGCTGTCGCAGCCGGGATTCGATCCCGCGACCTTCGGGTTAGCAGTCGAGCGCTATAACTACTAGACCAACGCGCCAGGGCTGAGCTCATTATTTCACTATGTAACTGGGGGGCTCAGTCAAACCACCGCTTCATGGGCTAACACTTTAAGATATTAGATTTAACAATAATAAAGTTGCGCGATTTATAAAAGCGTAACCAGCAATGGCACATCACATACTATAAGCGAATGTCTGCACTTTCCTATTTATTTATTTATTTATCTATTTATTTATTTATTTATTTATTTATTTATTTATTTATTTATTTATTCCACACTATTTTCGTGTAAGCTTGCTAAATGACTAGATAGAAGTGTCGTTCAACATTGAGAATGCCTTCAGGTGTTTGTGTGCTTTACAAGCTGCCCTCCCTCTTCTACAAGAATCCACGCATTTCCACGAAGTAAACCATGACGAGTGCCTCGCCGCGGTGGTCTAGTGGCTAAGGTACTCGGCTACAGACCCACAGGTCGTGGGTTCGAATCCCGGCTGCGGCGGCTGCATTTCCGATGGAGGCGGAAATGTTGTAGGCCCGTGTCCTCAGATTTGGGTGCACGTTAAAGAACCCCAGGTGGTCGAAATTTCCGGAGCCCTCCACTACGGCGTCTCTCATAATAATATGGTGGTTTTGGGACGTTAAACCCCACATATCAATCAATCAATCAAATCATGACGAGTGGGCGAAGCTCTGTGTATCGCACCCGTGAGTAATCGTATACGTTTTCCGAGTGTTGCCCCGTATAATGTGAATTGAGTGACATAAAGTGTACATAGAATATGCGAACTTATTTCGCCTTCCAGCCGTCTTCTGTGATTCGAGGGGGATTTAGAAGACTGCTGTAACTGACGATATGCCTCGAAAGTGAATCCAAGAGCCCGTCGTCTTACCGGGGGCATGATAGTATTTCAATGTGGCTAATTTGTTGACACGTGAAGTGCTCGACGTGTGCCTTCGTGTTACAGGTTTCCTTGAGAAGCCTCGACATCTAGGCACATTTTAGTGGAGATCAACTTTTTAATACTGTTCTCGATGGGTTATTTCGCCGGGAAAAGTGATCTCTTACCTTATAGAATTAGCCTGTGTCTACTTTAAAAGTCTATTGTAAATTTTGTTTTGTGTCTCACTTATGTTTCGCCTGTAGCAATGGTTCTATACCGCGACCACAGCGAAAGACGAGGCTGAGACCTAAACAGCTTCCCCCTTCAAAAAAAAAAAAAAAAAACCGGCAGCATATTCAGGAGTGAATGATGGGAAGTGGGGCGAAGCATCCGTCCATCCATTCGTTCTTGCTTCCGTCCATCCATGC